CCGGAGAGGCTGAAACCTGTAAAAGTCTCGTAGCGGCACGGGGGAGGGCATGGACTTCATGTACCCCCGCAGTGGGTTCAGGCGAGCGGGCGAGTCGGGCTGGTACCGCAGGTTCGGGCACGAGCCCACTGTAAAGCGTGGGAGTCTGTATTTGGAGAGTCTCGATACAGATGCATAACCCGGGTGGTACCCTTTGCAAAGTACTGAGATTTGCCCCAGATCGCCGTCGACGTCTTGCCGTACGTCGTCTGAAGGCTCTCGGACGAATATTCTTTTCGTTCTCCTGTCTCGGTCCTCCAGTAAAGCCGTCACCCCACACAGCACTGCGAAAACCCCTAATCCCACAGTCAGTGGGCCGATGAGCCGAAAGTCCCGCAGAAAGGCCCGGTCTGTAGGAAACGCCCGGTCTGCTTCCATACCCATGGTGCTGGAAGAATTGTTGTTATTGCGCAAGGCGACGTCCACATATTCGTACGCAAACATACACATAATCACCCCGGTAACGAGGATACAGAAGCCCAGAATGACGCAGATGGAGTACGGGGACAGGAGATTGAGTCTACCCTTGATTACCATCATCTTAGCCGGCCTGGGTGTTATGCGGCGAAGCCTCCTCGTTCCTTGCTTCTGCAGTTTCGAGGTTCTTTTCTTTCTCTCGCTGGCGAGCCTCGCCCCTGCCAGGGCACCGCGTCCCATCATATTGGCGTCCTATTCTGCTGACCAGAACCTATGTGTAAAAGTCTGGGCCAAGGCCTTGCGTAACAGACTGATTCTATCCAATATAAAAAGCAACTGCAATCACATTTCACATTGAGTCCCACCGAGCACTGGAATCAACTGCATGTCATAAAATATAGCCGTAACTCAAGTGCAATAGATTACACAGAAATCTCCTTCACGTATAAAGAAACAGAAGAATTAGTTCATGAGCATAAAAATGGTGTGGTACGTAGACTGCATACAGGCTAAAATCTTTAAAATTCAAAGTCACCTGTGCCTCCGTAAGAACATTCTCCACATGAAATTAGTTCTTCCATTGGTCCAATCAGACGAAATTTTCCAGTCAAGTGGCAACAATCAATTCTATGCTTGTGTTGGTATGCATTCAGCATGATCTCAAATCTGCAGCTACCGAGCAATTTCACCATTACATGTTTCCAAAATCTTCATCCCTAGTCTGCTAGCGTCGCCAACTGTCTGCTTGTTCAGGAAAAAAGGCTATCAGCTTCCGGGCTGTGAATAAGAATGCAGAATTGATAGCAACGCCGGATTACTGATATCGCAGAGATCCTGGCGGCTTCTGTCCCTGATTTTTTTATACATAACGACTTGACTTCCACGGGTCCAGCACGTTGCAGAACGTGTGCCGGCCTAGACACAGATGAGTGTTAATAAATCTAGCTCACCAGCTCCGACCTCAGGTGCAATACTGCGAACGAAAGGAACACGGTCTATCTTCTCCCGTCACAACTTACGGTGTCTTGGGTTGCTGGTGACAACATGGTAGCTCGGCCGTTGGTTCTGCGTTGGTGGGTCTTCTTGGAAGCAACGTTCGCAGCTGTTTTTCTCCAGACGTTATCTAACGCCACGCCGACCTGCGATGTTAGAATGTTGGGATTGGAGTGGAGACGACGGTATTACTCTGAACACGTCTCGATCGCTTGCGAGGTGATAGCTTTTTGACGTCAGATTAGTGTAGGTGTACCGTCGTAATAACCTCATCCATTCCTCAAAGCCAGGCTTTGTCGTCGTGATGTGGAGTTTCAGTCTGTTGGAGGTAGTATTCACGACGAACCTCATTTGCGGGAGAGTAGTCCTGATCTAAGTTGGCATTTAAATCACCAACTAGCAGGCCGCACATGCTCGTCAACGTTACGGGAAAGAAACTTCTTGACGCTACGTGTGCGTGGGGAAATAAGAGAATCCGCCGAGAAAAGGCTACGGCAGGTCAACAATATGGTTCTGATATGAACATATTTTGCTACAACTATTATTAATACTTAATTCGAAAAAATCGCTATCATTTGGTATAAAGAGAACAGAACCCTGTGCGTTTCAAGCCTGCTTTACAGTAACAAGTCGTGTTGTTGTTGTCGCCGTCGTCTTTTAAAAGCTACACACAAAGAAGGCCAGTATATCAGCCCTTCAACCAATACACGTGAGGGAAGAAAGCAATGTATATACATGCATCCTCATTCCCCCATGAATGGAACTCATTTCCGAGTATTTCTCCCCATATCAGATTGTAAGTCGAACAGAAATTACTCTTATTATGTATTCCTCCCAGGGGAGCTCAGTTCATCACACTTTAGTGACGGCGGCTTGCGCGCGGGTCTGCATTGACGTCAGCGTGTCAGTTATCTGACTAATGTTCAAGGCTTCTGAGTGTAATGGAGGTCGCCCGGCAAATTTGGCAGCCGTCTTTAGCGATAACGTACTCCCTGGGGCTGGGAACATAGCGAAAAGAGTTGCAGGGATGTTTATTTATGCTGTGGCATACTTGTGTCGCAACACTATTATACTGATCTTTTGTCTTTGCGTTATCAACGTTCAGATAGTGTTTTTAAAACCTTTATTCTAACGCTGTAGCATATTTGTTTGTATAGTGTCATTTCTGTAATGAGCCTCAAAAATATAAAATGCTCAGCTGGAAAGTAAATTCTTGCGTGATACCCTAGGTATGCTATGTATGTATGCCCTAGGTATTCTTCGCAGGTAATAGTACTAGTTATCTTTGGTATTTTTCATTTTCTTTATGCCTGTGCACTGACTAACAGATGTTTTAGAGTACATCAGCCAGGACGCCAGCAGTGAAGATACATATACCTTGAGATGCAATGCACATTGAGTGCCAAACCATGCACACGTATTCAGATATCAAAATGAGTCGAGTCCATGCGTTTCAAGTATAACCCAACAGTTTAGACCAATTGACCTCCACAGTGCCAGCTAAATGTGTTGGCCTTTACAGATAAGCGTTTAGTCGATACTAATATAATACCCACTGATTTCATCGCATGCTCTCGAATATCGCTAAGCTGTTATGTCACATCTAATTTCAAACGTTGTAGATTAGCAAGGTTGGTTGTTATCGGGGAATATACAACACGGACTGCCCTCTGTTTTGCATACCAGTTCTACAAGGTGACTTGATCCGACCTCTATTGACATGGCTGTCCCTGATCTAGTTGGTTCTGTCGTCTCATGCACAATGCATCATCTATTTATTCTCAGTGGTGGAGAAGTAGTCAGTAGTTCAGCCTGTCTTGTAAATCAACGAAGGCTGAAATGGTTTCAGTTTCACGCAAAACAAATTTTGTTGTCGGTCCGAGGACGTCATAAGATCAAGATTGCATGGCTTTAACCTGAACTTCGAATCTCCAGAAATCCATCCAGCGGAAACATGTCATGTACGAATGTTCTTGGCTGACACCAATATCGACCCTTTGGCCAATTAGGGGAGGTTTTTTCGTCATTCTTCGCGAAGGAAATCCATAGTGGTGCCCTTGTGGATAAGGGTCGCGAAGCGGGAGGAACTGCATTCCAGGCACAGGCTTAACGAGGGCGTCTTTGCCAGGGCAACACATCAGGGGGTTTAGACTTGTCTCGTAATAGTTCCCCCCATACTATAGGTCTTCGCGAAGGCGTACATTCAAACGTATTCAGTAAGCTCATTCCGCGCCGCCTATCCCATGTATTCACATGATGTTGTGGTTGTCAATCATCTGATGACTCTACCCCCGCCCACCTTCAAGTCTGCTCGTCAAGAGCTGTAGACGATTTGTTCTCGGCAGCCAACATTTACCGGTAGATTTTGTACATGTTATTGACTGTCTTTTCTCTCCCTCTCCTCAAAGTCACCCTTGTCTACTGCTATGCATTTTTAATGTTTCAGAAGTGAAATAGGGCGCCCGTCTCCAGATTAAGGTAATAGGATTGTGATTGGTTCATCTGTGCTAATACCAAAAGGGAGCAATTTAAACAGACCCGCCTCCAATAGCTCGATGGGAAGATAATGGGTTCAGAGACAAGATAATAACATCAGAGAGCTCGTCCGGTCATTATCCTGCCACAGAACGACCGACAGACATTGTCTAAGGCACGCCAGATCTTACGCCTACGTCACGATGTCGAATCTGACTAGCTAGCTGATTATCTATATATCCAGTGGCTTGTAAGAACGGCCTATTTTGCTATGATTTATCGCAGGTTCGGAGATGTGGTGAAATGGAGCATTTCAGCGCACAGCATGTGCAATTAGATCATCGGAAGCCATAGTTTGAAGGTAAAACACATATGATGTCAACAAACATATACACCATACCCGTACAAAGTAGCCCGTACAAAATCAATTTAGCAAACTGTTTCCAAAATGAACACAAATGTACATCAAGTCTTGTCAGCTTTGAAAAACAAGGAGCACCTGAATGTGTCAAAATCTATAGATCTACAGGTTCAGACATTGACTGTGCTACACAAATAGGTAATCAGGTATGTGAACTGTGACCTTTGAACCGCTGTCCTATAACCCGTAACAGCTGTGACCTGATTCAAAATTCGTCTCCCTAAAAATCTCCCGGCTCCTTGGTCTTCTGTATCGTTTATCCAACAGGTAAGTCATCTGTAAACAGTACACGTTTAACGATATGTGTCAGTACAGTAGCAAGTCAGAATCGGAGGTGGGAAAACGGAGATATTCGCACAAACTAGTGATGTGTGTGTGGGGTGCGGTAGGGTGGGGTGGGGGTATACATAACGGGAGGGGACCTATGTTCCATGCAAACGCACATACCTTTGGTAATAGTTTATCTGACCAAAAACTAGCACAAAATGAGCTATAATATTGACAGGTGAAGATCACAACAATTAAAGCTACACAGCTGTGTATTTCACTTCAGTGTAGCGTCTTGCACCCAAGCGTAATGGTTCACAAAACTTACGGCAGGTTTTTGGTCATTTTGCCGGTGGAACGTTCTATCGCAATACGGGTGCCCTAATTCCGACCTATTGCTTAACACAGGTCGATCTGAGAAGAGAGTTTAGAAATTATAATACACAAATTATGACTAAAACAATCTACAACTGTTTTTCTGTTACAAACAAGTCCTCTTTTTACGATTACGCGACTTGCTCCAAAGCGGCTGTTTCAAAAGCAAAACCTGCATTTTTGACACGCTCGTCAACCCCCGAACAAGCGTCGAATTTAAACAGAATTTTCACTCGTCTGTTGTCGGAGTGTACAAAATAAAACAAACTTTGTGAGATTACCGATATCAACACAAAAACTTTGTCCATTCTTGTGGTTATTTTTAGGCTCGTGCTCCCATGCATAACGCCGCAACAAGGATTTTTCAAACTAGTTCGGAATTAGGGATAGGTCGGAATTAGGGCACCCCCCGTTATAATTCGAAGGTATGCGTATACAAGGAGCATAACTTTCTGCGCAGTTAGACTTAAGCTTAAATTTTCAATGTTTCCTTTCTAGAAATGGACATCCCTATCTACGACTGTCTCGCTGAAGCACTGCGCATGCCCAACAAACATGAGGAGACGGAGGCACCCAAAGAGGACCAGTCGTTAGACATGGGAAGTGGACATGACGAGGAGAAGGCATTTTTAAGGCAGGAAACAAGCACTGAAAACCCTGCCCTTACAGACAGTAATGTTTCATCGCATGACCAGACGGATACAGGCCAGATAGACACAGCAAAACATACTGTGGACAAGCCCAAACGCTACCTGTGTGAGGTATGTGGGTACAGAACAGCTGTGCGCTGCCACTTATCACAACACATGAGAAAACATACTGGTGAAAGGCCCTACAAATGTGACCTGTGTGAGTATTCTGCTACACAGAAGGACAACCTGGACAAGCATATGTTGATGCACAGTGGTGAGAAACCCTACATGTGTGGGGAATGCGGGTACAGGACAACCCAGAAGTCTCATCTTGCCCGTCATATGAAAACACACACAGGAGAAAAGCCCTACCAGTGTGGGGAGTGTGGATATGGAACAGTCGACATGTACAAACTTTCCCTACATATGACCAAACATACAGGTGAAAAGCCCTATGTGTGTCAGCAGTGTGATTATGCCACGGCCCGGAAAAATAATCTAGACAGACATGTCATGTCAAAACACACTGGTGGCTGTGGTGAGAGTATTGTGGAGTGTGAGTGGTCAACTTTAGCCCTACACATGAAAACACACACAGGAGAAAAAACCTATGCTTGTAAGGAATGTGGCTATATAACCAGTTATAAGTCTCACCTATCTAATCATATCAGAAAGCATACGGGTGAGAAACCCTACAAATGTGACCAGTGCGACTATTCTTCAGCACAGAAATCATGTCTAAATCGACACATGGCAAAACACACAGGTGACAAGCCTTACATGTGTGAGAAGTGTGGATACAGGACTGCTGATAGAGGCAACCTTTTACGGCATGTGAGAAAACACTAGGTTGACCATCTGTACTCCTAATGTGGAATATCTTACAGTTTTTATAACTAATGTTGTGGCTTCTGAATTTATATCTTGTGAAACACTGATAAGGCCACACAAAGTAATTTTTATGGATGAAGTCCTCTGGAGACCCAAATCTAATGTGAGAGCGCAAAAAAAGAAGGGCTAAAAAAGGCAAGATGCCTAGATTTGAAATATGCTAAGGGATGACAAATGTTAGGACATGAATTGAATGATCACAGTGTAACAACCAACAAGTCTTTTATTCGTCATGAAAACAGCAATAAATCAGTGGAACAGCAGTTGTCGCCCTGTCCTTCTTCTTTCCTTGAATCACGTCTTCCCTTAAATCCCACTGTCGTGACTCTTTGGTCATAGTTACAAGTAGCAGAATTTCTTGTTTTTTTCTGGAAACAAGCCAAAATCAATTATTGCACAGAAATCATCCATAAAAATTACTTGGTGTGGCCTAAGAAACACAACATGTAAGAATGAGTGCACAGCATGATGTTAGGAATAGCAATTCATGGCACATTACAGTGCGATATATTTTTTCTGTCCTCAAAGCTTCTGATGATATCCATGGATTAATGACTTTTGTAACAACTCTTTTGCTTTCTTCTTTTCAAGATAGCTCACTCTCTGAGACCGTTAAGATACACTCACTTGCTGTGGTGCTGAACTGCCATCCAAACATTCATGAGATGTATTTGTGTGTACAAACAGGAAGTTGGCAGGCTAGATTGACACTCATTACAATGAGATCTTGTGTAAATATTATTTTTGGTTTTGTCTATAAGTCACCACTTTTTACGAGGAGTTGAAAACCCCCCTTGAATAAAAGTGAATGTACGTTAATATTGTTGAAATCGCAACTGTACGTGCTTTGCATGGGCGACACAGGTTGTACTTGGATGGTACTGCAGCATAGTTGCGTTCTCTGTATTTTATATACATATAGCTTACATGTACATACGACATTTATATAGAATTTTCGTGATAGATGGGGATATTGAGTTAATTGTACAGAAGGGTAAATGATGCTAATGGATTTGATTTCGTTGGCATTTTGTCGGGAAGACATTCTCTGTCGACCTTCGCCATACGGTGCGTGGTTTGTGTCATAAACGGCGGTAGTTGTTGTGGCCATTGTGCACGGGCCAATTTTTGTGTTACCCGCAAGGTGACGCTCGTAGTAAGGTCGAGACTGGAATGGTATCTGAAGAAAAAATTGAGCCATAAAAGTCGCTTACATATTCGTGTTGGAATGAAACAGGTCATAATCTGCAGTATGAAGGAATGTCGGAAACTTCCTTAGTCTACCGCGAGCTGTTCAGATAGATATCAACAGTTTCAACAGTTTAACAGTTTCGATATAGTAGATATCGATGCTTCTCCGACCACAAAGCAGGTCCCACTTAGCTTTCTGCCTTCACTAGTCACGTTGGTGGTTTAATCTGATCGAGGCGACTTAGTCGATATACTGTCAGAAAATGAAAAGATCTTTATGAGGAAACGGCCATCGATAGAGATCAATTACACAGGTTCATAAGCTCTCTTGTCGCTGCCAAGCACCAAGACGGCCACACGCGGAAGCGGGATGTAGTTAAAATGGCAGAGCTACATGTAGATGCAATTATGAGTGCAAAAATTTTACTCGCACAGTTTGTCAGTTTTACGTCCAGTCGTGACGTAAAGATCACTATGGTCGTTACTAGACAGGTTCTAACAGACAAGGAACCGAGCTAGCTGCTGGTGACCTCGAGACACAGAAACATGTAAATTCGTCTTATTGTATACGTAGGAGTAAGTAATTTTCATTTCTTCTCTGAAATTGGAAATGGTTACAGACTGGAAAACGATGGTGATTTCCGTTACTACCGTAGGTTTTGCTGGCGGTGGGCACCTCACGTTTATGGCCTCCCGTCTTTTGTGCCAGGCGCGGTCATATAGCGTAACCAATCGACGACAATCATCAATATCCAGCAACTTGAGTCAACAGTTGAAGAGAAATCTTGATTACACATTTAAGATTTCCTTCTTAATGTTTACGTCTTGTCTTTGCTGCGTATCTCGTCTGTTTCTCTCTCTAGTCTTATTTTTCATACGCCATGAGAAAAATGTCTTCCGACAACCGTGCGAACGTGTGTTTCAGTGCTGTATATGCCGTTAACCAAGGTTGAAGTCCACATGATGGAGCCAGAATGCCAATTTGCAGGAGGTTCATGTATATTCCTCATCCAATATACGTCGTCATAAAGCATTAACCGGTACACTCGGTGGCCTTTGGCCGGCCCTTCAGTACTATATTGATGTCTTCGATCAACAGCGAGAACACGATTGGAAGGTGATGATAACTCGCGCTGCCATCGCACAGGGCATGTAGGAGCAGGGAAGTGCACCAGGGCCTGACGCCGTCCTTTATCTGGCGTTTTTCTGATATCACCATGACCAGGGCAAGATGTCAAGTCATGAAGTTTTGTTATCTAGACTAATAAATGGCATGGAGTCTGGTGGTAACTGGTGCTCCATGCTCGATATTAGGTGGCTGTCTGACACGTGTGTGTTCATGCTGTTCTGTCATTTGGAACGTTATCTAAGTACGGCCCCGTGTTCATTCTAACCTCTATGTCTACATGTCTTTATGTCGAAATGCACATATGGATTGGTGGGGAACTTATTGATATCGGCGCCCTGCGTCTTTGCATGAAAATATATCATACTTTGTAGCATCTGTTATTAGTGTTTGTTGGGAACACTATAAATCCTCCTGTCAATTATTTATGATACAAACTACAAGCTCAACAAATAATTGTGTTTACAAGTCATTTATCTGGCTTGGTGCCTCCAGGTTAGGATTTACAGGAGCTGTTCTTAATGACGCATGTGAGGCTGTTGATTGTACTAGTGATGTTATCGTATCGCATTGTAATCCCCCCACACTTATTCATGCAATATGAAACATGAAATATACATTTCAATAAGCTCATAAGACGTCTGTTCCTGTGGATATGGTATGTTGATCTAGATAATGGAGGTGAGATGAGATACCTGTTGCGACAAAGTAATGTAGGCTGGCCTCAGGCGTGAGGTAGACGAGATATGAATCTAACCTTGAGGCGACGTAAGGACTCGTAATACTAAAGTACATTAATAGGACTCAGAGCTGCAAATAGGTTTTAAATCCTACTCTACATTTCTAACTATCAACTGATTTACTAGTCTTAACGTCATCTAAGTGTGTCTGCATATTGCGACAATCCATTCCATTTACCAGACTCTGGCTTGTTTACGTGCACAAAATGTCTTAATTGTACTTCTCATCATTGCCAAGAACACCATTTTCGCTGCTATAGTACATTGTTTTAGGGCGTTTTCATTGAATCAATAAATATCAATTTTAGCACCAAAACACTATAATGTATAGAAAGATATATTTCCATGGTAGGTCCACTTTCCATTGATGCTTTCAGTAGTATATTTGATAAATGTATATGTATAATGATTACTAGGTCTATGTACCTCTATTTATTGACCAACATCCTTGAAATTCCAAACTTTCAGTCCACAAACGACAGTTACAACAACAAAATTCGTTGAAACAAAATGTATTAAAACATAATCCCCTTTACATAGAGAGCAACTGCCTGAACTTCTGTCAATAGTTCGATAATCAATACCAGATCATTGTTCTGAGACTGAACGAGCACATATTGCATAGCGCAAAATCCAAGGACGCCATGCCAGTAATATACATTGATGGCCTTGGTCCCCATATGATTAGTTCTGTGCAGGTAAGACCCATGGTTCACTGGTGCCGACGCAGGTGAAATTGATGCATGGGCATGCCTATACTTATCAAAAGAATTCATCATTGCAAAGATTAGGAGTCACCCTTGTAACGATCTATCTTTGAGACGCCTTGGCGCCGGTTTTTTGGCGCCAGCACCCCTCAAGCGTTTCACTTCCAAACAGCCCTGATGATACAGTGGTAGTTCATAAACTAGCTGGGGCACGCATAGCGTAGTCACGTCCTGGTAGAACCCTGTAAATGAGAATGTCGGCACACACTGATTAGAGACGTGACAATGCGTCATATGCCGAGGCTGACTTGGGAACAACGAAACGCGAAAGTTACTGACCGGAGATATTCATCTTGCTGTTGACAGAACCCCCCCAAAACCAAATGTAATTGTTTCAGTGGGATATTTCCTTTTGCATAGCTTAACAGCAGTTTTAGCAGCCAAGGATCGCATCAAGTTCTGCTGGAGACGTTTGGAGTTGTTCTTTTGAACATCGCCAGAACTCGTGACGCATCACTGTCCACGAACGTCTTTCTGGCATCTAATCCTGAATCGTCGGTATTCCTGGCACCAGTTCAACAGTTCTTAAATTGAGCACTCGGCAGATTCTGCCTCAAAACATCATTTCATGTAAGACGTCCCCGAAAGTCAATCAAATGTGTATTGTTTGATTTTAAGCTGAGGCATCGACAAATCTTGTGGAGCCGATAGCCAATTTCGGACTCCTTACCCATGTTACCGAAGCTTGAAAGCTTGAAGGTTCCGGTCGCTGCTCATTGATTCCACTTAAACGTACATCGAAAATGCAAATAAAACCCGCTTACACGTTGTAAAAAGAAGTGGTTGATTACAGACGTTGGAAAGTAAGTGGATCAATTTGGCACTGATACAGATCCTTCTGCAGGGAGAACGTGTCAACCATAAAGCACTGTGTAATAAATGGTCAATTAAAGAAAACTATGTCTGCTGGCCTTACTGGTTATTCCAGTTGATTTCCCCAAATGCGACGACAGAAGGCCATGTGTATGTGACAGAAATTATATGCTATATCAAGCTTTTTCCCTGCTGTGTATTGTCGTACTATACGGCCATTAGGGGCCACAAATTCATTTTTTTCGGATTTTCGAAAAAGATTTATAAATGTAAGCCAGCCCACTCACGCCCCCTACATCGAAGGTGTATTTATTGCAAGAAGCATCAATCCTGGCTGTAGAAAGGGGATCAAGAAGCACTCCGCTGGGCCTTAACTCCCCATGATAACAGCTGGAGCGGGCCGTTTATTTTCCGGTAACGAAGATCGATCGCCATGTTGATGATGATAAATGAAGAGAGAGGGCCGAAAACGTACCGGCCAGGATTTGTGCTCACGAATTCAGGATGCTGGGCAAGAAAAACTTGGAGAGGGTTCGATTTGGATTGCGGAAGAGAATATTACGTCTTTTGATCGGAGGATGGTATGGGGGGAAAGCATACATCTGGATTGACAAAAATTTGGGACTGTACATATTGCCAATCGTATTAGATAGAACAGAACTGGAGAGATACCGTTTGGAGATTGACCTTGACACATGTATACGTAATGAAACGGGGGTGCCCTAACTCCGACATACCCCTAATTCCGGACTAGTTTGAAAAATCATTGTTGCGGCGTTATGTACATTGCAGCTTAAGGCGCCGGTATGGTAAAATGTCAGGCGAAACACAGAGAATCGGGCCTAGGGTTACAAGAGCAAGAAGGCTATTAGGAATAAGGCTAGTCAATCAATAGCTGTTACTCGTGTATGGATAGCGGTTGAACGAGCAGTCGGGTAGGTGGAGGATTTTGAACTGGAACCTATTACATTGTTTGATGGCTGCCATTGATCTTAGCATAGGTTGTTATTTCTCACAATTTAAAAACTATCTGTGTGTCCTGCTTAGCGTAGATGTCAGGTATGCAGGGTCTGTCATGAATCGCGTCTGTCTCCGATGATCATACAAAAACCCAAAGAAGAAATAAAGTCGTACCCTGAGCTTTCTTGTGTGCAAAATCTCCAGTACGTGCACGACCATCTGCATATCAGTGCATACATATAGAATACAACACGGGGTATTCCGTATCGCCCGAGGTATCGGCCCGACCGCGAGTCGGATCGCCCGAGGCCGCAGGCCGAGGGCGATCCGACTCGCGGGAGGGCCGAGACCGAGGGCGATGCGGAATACACCGTGTTGTATTTTATTTATACCATACCCACCAAAGAAAACACGCCTTTCAATGCAAGATGAGCCCAAACTTGGTGCCACTAAACCCTAAAATGCAACAACATCAATTCCAACGTCCGGATTCTGTATTCGAATTTTCGAAAGGGGCACACGCGGGTAGGGCGAAACGCGTTCGAATCGTTTTATGGAAGCCAGGGAAGCGTTCGATAACGGGTTCCGGACCGGGCCGTACCGTGAAGTACAGCCCGGTCCGGAACCCGTTATCGAACGTTATCGCGGCCCGGGTATGGTATAAATATGTATATCATCTACCCTTGCTAATGCCCGCTTTAATTTGATCCATCCGAGGACCTTGCTCGAAGACTTTACAACGAACTGCAACAGTATATTTTCTCTGAGCTTCTTTGATCAGTTTATTTCAGACAACACCCGCTTTGCATGAGTACGTTACATAATGAGTGTTTTAAATGAATTTTCTTGACTTTCAACTGGAGCCATGCTGAATTATAAATACAGAGCGAACAAAACTCATCTTTCATTCAGAGACGCTTTTAATCGTACTCGCTCTTTAGAAAACTAACCTGGCGTTGGTGATGAATGCGTGCTTTTAACTTAAAACTTTCCTCATTTTCTCGGAGAAATCCTCTCTTGATAAATGCGCCCAACGATGGCTCAGAATTACGAGCAAACTGTAAAGAAATCCCTCTGCATTCTTTTGACCAAAGTTAAGGAACTGCAATTTGTCAATATCGCAAGGCGTAACATAAAAATGTCATCCTGCCAACAGTATAAGGGTGACGGATGGATCCTCCACACCTCGCTAAGCAGATTTACCACCTGATTGCGTGACTCTCGTTTCGCAGGGCAACAAACCGTGGTGAATGCGATCTTGCAATCCCGGCTGATGGATAGCATCGCCGTCGGTCGGGATGTAGAATTCCAAGCACAATACGTTACAGCAGCGTCGATAACACGTGCAACAGATGGTTAGAATCAGACAGATAGGACGACAGTCTGTGAATCCGCTTTGGAACTGTTGGAGTCAAGCCATGTGAAGGTCGAAAGAATGTATCTATTTTTCATGGTGCAGGGACTAGACATGGCAGGGAGTTAAATGTAATTTATCAACGAGATGAGGCTGCTAGTATCCAAACTTTATTGATAAGCCTATGAATTTTGCTTCATATTACATATTACATTGGACACAATTTAATGATCCTGGTTGCATAAGGATACGAGTAGATGCCTTGGGTGTGGATATAGCTGCTTCGTCGTGAAAAAACTAACGGAAAAAACTTTAACCTCTTCCAGCTCTTTACACAAATCCATGTGTTTGAGTCTTTAAGTTTCTCTTGTCATAATCTAGTGATTTCGTCTTTAATGTTGATATAATCTTTCATGTAGTTCTTTACTCTTTCTTCAGCCAAGATGTCTGAAATGTCTTCGGTGGTCTGGGATCCAGTGCTTACAACTCGCGTTCTGGAGCACATCAGAACGGAACATGTCTTTCCGTTTCCGATCGAATCTCTTCTCGTATCCCGTTTCTGAGCGCCATGGCCGATTGTGTTGTACTTGATCCCGATACCGTTTCTTAATTCCACTTTGGGGCGGAAGAAACGTCGCCGTGCGTCTGAGACAGTACGACATCGCCAGGTCCTGCTGGTCGTCAGGCAGGACCCGCTGCCGCCTTCTTCCTGCGAGTCTGTGTTAGACTCTGTGCAGCTGAAACAACCTGACATCGCCTGTCTCGTCAGCAGCACGTTTTCGTGGGATGCCAGGAGAGACGATCTTGTGGAGTGGCCAAAGCTGAAAGTGTCTTCTCCCGCTGTACGTCTCGAAAGCGTGTCTAAGCCGTCTGAAAGACGCGTGCTGTTGTCGCTGTCCCACCCCCCGCCGCTATGGGCGCCGCCGGTACTTCCATAAGTGTGCGCGCACGTGGTCCCGTGTAGAACATGCCGGTGTGCTGTGTGGCCATGCACGTCTGGGGCGCACTCCGACACCACGGGGTCGCTACTTCTGAAAAATACATCAACGCAACATGTCCTTTAACTTGAAGGAACACCAGATTATACATTACATTACGTTACATTAAGTTTCGATGAAGGTTAGGATAATATAAAAAGCAGATATTCTAAGTTATAAGGCTCTGTCCTTGGTGCTGAAACGATAAGGATGTTCTGTCCTTGGTGCTGAAAGACAGATTCTACACAAGGTCTGTCCTTGGTGCTGAAACACGGATTCTATATGAATATTCTTTCCATGCCGCTGAGAGACAGTCTTGACTAATGTCCTGTCCTTGGTACTGAAGCACGGACTCAATGCAAATGTTTTGTCCTTGGTGCTAATATACCCAGTCTACTGGGAACTACATATATAGGCAGATTTTGCTATTGGTGCTTGATCTTATATTTTATGCAGTGTATATGATACTCAAAGTTTAAGGTTAGATGGGCCCTTACCTTTTGCTAACACAGTAAGTTGCCGTTGGTCCGTTCCGCAAAGTCAAAGCCTGCATGGCTGTGGTGCTAACAAGATCATCAGCTTCTTGCCGTGTTCTGTGAGGCGCAAGTGAACTTTTACTATCGCTTTCTGCTCCTATCGGGGAAGCTCTGCGACCTCTGCTAGGCAGACATGTTTGGTATTTTGTGGCTTCGGTTGGTGCCAGTTCTCTTTTTCTCAGCTGACTGGTGTCTAGAGTATTGTAAGGACGATATTTGCCGTGATCTTCTACCCGGTATAGCGGCTCTGAATCCAGGATGGGCGTCTCCCGCAAGGCGGTGAAGGGCTGGGAACGAGAAGCGAGTATATCCGGGTACTCACACCTGTCCCGGCTCGCCCAGCCGCCGGTTATGTCTGAGATATGTTTATAATGTCCCCACCGGCCTGTCTTTTCACCGTTTGGTCGGCCTCGCGGATGAGGCAGAGACATGGAGCGGAGGTGTGAAGATTTCCCAAGTTCCTCCTCCAGATCTATCCTGGCCGAGATGTCGTCCATTTGCTGTATGATTGCGCGAAGCTCGGCGGCGACCGTCTTCAGTTCATGCAGTACATCATCCAGCTCCTGTAGCACCACCTTGATCTGGGCCTTAACCTCCACAGAGTCCAGCAATTTCATGGTCTGTTGGCGTTCAAGCGGTGTAGCTAGCTAGGCATCACTCCCGAGAGCGCTCCGTCACTCTGTGTGTGCTCGGTGTCTTCTCACTCCATTCTGTCTCTGGTGTCAGCTGTGTTGACAGAAAGGTGATAGATAAGTGTTAAGTAGCATCCAATGGAATTCGAAGCATTACTGAACGATAATCTGTTGCATCTCAGGTTCCAGCCGTCATGTCTGGCCTCGAATAAATGGCCAATTACTGGACTCACGCTTGGGTTATAATACTTACAAACGCGTGCACCTCCAAAGGAGCTGGCTGATTAAGTACTTCACATCGTGTAAAACGATAGTAAAAGTTAATCAAAAGCGATCGCGTTAACGACATAATACTGGATTAGTGGAATACAAAATAGAACAGCGACGTTCTGGCTATCGGGCTAAGTAAACCGAAAGTTATTATATAAGCAGCTGACTGTGCTTTTGCCAAATTATACATGCCTAGCATGGTAAGAGCACAACGCACCAACTGTTATGGCGTTAGGCTAAATTAGTTCCTTATGAAAAAAATCTGGAGGTACCCGAAGTTTCGCTATGAACTGTAGTTAAGGTTTCAGTCCATAAAATTACAAAAATCACGGCTTTCTCATGCCAGTATTAATAGCCAGTGCTAGCCACATATATATTCTAACTTAGGATCAATGGTCCGCAATATGACGCACTTTTAACAATTCTAGATATATGGCCGCTTTGTTACAGTTGATCAGATTTTGTTCACGTGGCTCTCATCTATGTAATGTCCTGCGTTTATTAGCTACGATATAAAGAACCACTACCACTAGTATCGGTTATTAAAATTTTACCGTCCACCTGACTGATTACAACCATAAAACCGCATTACGGCCTGTAGGTACGACACCTACCCGGCGGCCACGCAACCATTGCTCGTAACCTGGCATTTAGACCGCCTTAAATCATGGGTAGGGGAAAGAAATCAATAATAGTTATCGAGAAAAATGATGGCGTGTTCCTGGGACATACATCTTTAGACGGCGACACCGATGTTGGAAACACCTTTGAGTGTAAAGAAGGGAGTACATAATTTGTGTTCATGAGATCGGACTAACATTGTGTTGAGGAAACGGTCATATATATATAGCTTTTTTAAGTGCTAGATAAAAGATTCTTCGCTGTCTATCATTATAAACTTGGCACTTTAAAGGTGAAAACGTCGAGTTTTCCAGAACACCGGGAGATCTAAACTCAGTGGAAAATTAAAACTCACGTAGATTTACGGAGCTGAATTAAAAAGATGGTATGTGTGGATATATCAAGTATTCTAGTGACACTGAAAATGCCGTTTGATGTTTCAGCCTAAATCATGCTCAGAATCCATGAAATAAGTGATAAAACTTCTTGATTGACTGAATAGTCGAGTATGCATGGACTTTAACGTCATCTGCGACGTTTGTTATGTACCCTGTGATCTGATGTGCACAACTGATCCCACACAAAACCGGACCATAGCTCCTGTTATAAGCTTAAATCGCTGTGACAGTAGGAAGCCCTGTAATGTTCTCCGAACTCTCGCGCCCTCCTCTTATATGCAAGATCAGGGCGCAATTTAAGGGCGATTCCATCACACCGTAACGACTCTGCCTCTGCAGGCTTCCCGTATGCGACACAGATTACAATCAAACAGTAGTAAAGGCTACAGATCTGACAGATAATAGATGAAGACTGTTTCACTGAAATTCCTTTGGGTTACTGACCGGAGACAATGGACGACCATCTCTTTTCAGTTAATTGAAGACCAAGGGCTTTTTGTATGGCGTTTTGACAGGTACTTAATATGTCAATATGCCCCTGCACGGAGAGGTACTGACCACCATATCTCGTTTTTATCAATAACGCGCTTGTGTATATTTCTCTCTCAGGTTTCAACATTACAGAGATTTGTACAAATTTGGCAGGTTGGCATGTGGCCTTTTGCGCTTTCATATGAACATCTGCCTGGTATTTTTACCCGCCCTCCCGTACAATTCTTTCATTCAGTTCTAGCCGTTACCCCCATCGTATCATGAATATGCCTGCAGCAGTCTACATGTATACACTGTTCCATATTACATTGCCTGAAATCAGGACATTGCCGAGTGTCTTTTATTTCAAAAGTGTCTTCAATTTTCTAGTGTTGCAAATCCCCTCCAGTACAGATTTTGATCAAGTCGAGCCCCCCCCCCTCCCATATCACTTTATGTATCTGACGGATGTTTCCGGTAAGTAGATCGGAATAAAGCCCCGATTGACAGAGAGATATCGATAGCCGAAATAACTGGGGCGGAGAAGGGATTCCGCGGTTCGATCGATGGCAATTGGCGATTCTCCCCCCGCTGTGGGTCGTGGCAAAGTCCCTGTGTCTAATAACTTTCCTCGGGGACTTCTGTGTGTGTTTTACCGCGGGACACGGGCACCTGGCCGGCCTCATGGTGCAGGAAATCTTCACCGTGCGAGGTGTACAAACAACTGGTATAATATCCGAGAAGCGCGTTTATAGACTTTCTGCCGCGGCGCTTATTCACATTAACGACGCCGTACGCACCGTTATATGGGCGCGGAATGGATATTGGATGTTCCCGCGGCTCGGCGTGCAATAATTGAGGTATTAACAGTAATGAAAGTTAAAGTGTAAAATTTAGTTGTTAAATTAATGTCAGCACCTGATGACGACGATACAGACTAACTACGTACCGCCCACTAGGCTCTCTAACACTTCTTGACAGGTGGGGTAGATTTATTGATCTCGTGTGGCAGGACGGGGAGCAGTAAAAGTGGCATCGCCTATTTATAGTGGATGGCTTCGCCGACCTTAGACGAGAGCCGCCTCCCCGAAATCTGCGATATTTAGTCCTGGAAACCATTTAGACAAAACACTGGTCTCACCCCCTGATGCGTTTCACTCTATAAAGTCATCAACGTTGACTGTATAAAACGATCGAAGTCCCAATAACCCGAATCACAAAATCCTCCCCCTCTCTCTCCTGGTCTTTTCCTCCACTTAATCTTTACAATTGCCCGTTTGATGGCTGCTAGCAGTCATTGCTTTATATTACTTTTACGGAGAACGGTCAAGTACGTCGTTTTCACTGCTTCAGATATATATATGACTTTCTCTATTGTCGTCCAGTCCTGATCACTAGAGCTCTGTCGGATATATCTTGCCATATCATTATATTCTGCCAGGTAAAAATTGTACATATAAACACAAAAACATAAGATGAATATCAGGATCGTTCGCCTGTTGCCTACAGTGTAATATTACCGTGCCAGGATCAAGTCTAGTGTGATATATCAGACGGGCTGGTACCAAAGTCACGTATAGCACTTGCTCACCAGTACCAATACCATCCACACAGACGGACAGAGAAGAATTCCAACCTTTTCCACATCCTAGTGAAAGTATCGCCACTTACCGCCACAATCCCGGTGACAACCCCCGCGCCTCTCGCTAAGCCGTGCATGGCTGGAACTACTGTGTGCTTTAAAACATGCCTGTCTTGACGGGTTCTGACAAACTCGGGTCAGCTGGGAGGGCTCTGGATTTGGGAGATATCACGTTACTCGACCCTGTGCGAGCTGGGTATCGATCCTCAAGAGCGCGGCATCCTATTTGCTGAATGAAACATCCCGCAAAATATTCCCCACCTTCACCTGTGCGATCCCGTACGAGTCCTGCACGGCGGTTCTGGAAGACGTACAGTAGGGCATGTATAAAACATAGGCAGCAAGATGGGTGTGTCCAAAGCCAATTTTCGCGAGGGGATACGCCAGTACACAGCCGATGGTACCACGCCGTCGCGTATCCATAATGTGGTCCTGCAATTGAACTTTAGAAAATCCCATATAAGCCAGTAAGCAGCATTGTTAGTGGCACAGTATCCTTCACGCTGTGGAGTTTATGGCCGTTTGCAGGTGTCAGCTATAAAAAAAAACCTGTATTAGTACACATGTAGCGTGACGGGCTCTTATCTTCGTCCGTTGCTTGCGATGCGGTTGACTTATGAAGAAAATTATTCTCAAATTTTCTATCTTGTATGGATTAACTGGATCTCCGTAGACACCATATAGTACGTGTCAGTAGCTGCAAACTGGCATTGCGTAAAATTCGCATCTGGTTTCCTGGTGACATATATCTGTGCTCGTTCACGTCGGCGGTCGGAAACGCCATCTGCGGCCGGCCGAGGGTTCGTCGTTGCGCGCCTGAGGCTGGTATTTCCGGGCGTTAAGGATCAAGAGTGGAACCTCGTTATGCACACTCCCGAATGGTTTGATGTCTTCTGGGTCAGCGGGTTTCCACTCCGGTGAACCACAGGCATCTGTCATGGGTTCTACGTAGTCTGTAGACTTGCGCACAGTCATGGACAGGTCTGGACAACATGGCAACATTGGTAGAGTCTATCTTAACGCAAGAAGTGATACTTTTTGAAACTTGTTGTTAGGTCATCGCATAAAGTGTTAAGGTATGTCCAGAACGTTGTCGCGTGCAGAATTTATTCACAGGGGCATCAGTATCGCCCTCCCATGATAACGCCGCCTATGTAAGGTCTGGTGGATATGTAGCCTCCGCGCCGATCATCGCCGATGTCACGTTCGTTAGAAATCGGTTCATGACTTTGTCTAAATATACACAAGCTTTCCCATAGCGACAAAACCTCCCCCAGGCACGCATGGTTCAAATGTCGGATGGGATACGTCTCTGCCCGGGGCGGTAAGAAATGTCTTTTTGGTGCAGGTTATCTGTAGAAATGTCGGGAGACTGCTCCGTCCGTTTCTTTGTGTAAGGCAAAACTCACCTTGATCGGCCCCAGGTCGTGCTTTGGTGTCTTCTCTGATGGATTGTTTTTGATGAGCTCTGTTCGGGCGTCAAATAAAGACGTTGCCCCGCTGATGGTGCTTGGCACTGTTATCATATAGCGGCCAGACTGGAGGTGGTACAAGCAGGTCGCTTTGTTCCGGAGAATAGACGCTTCAGATGGATTGTGTCCTGTGGGCAGCCTGCCATGTTCCACCCACCCCTCGCCTGGAGCGAAGGAGAATATTGATTAAATCAATTTAAGGCGGCTATTAACAACGTATTCGGGAAGATTGTTGGAAATATAGCCACGAGTCTTCGGAGAGTGATCTAATTTCACATCTGCGAGCGCACACTAGCTCACCCGATTAACTTGCGTCTTCTTAATTAATATCCCAGCAACTTAGAATTTTTATGCGCTGCGCGTGTCAACATTGCCAACGTACTTATTCTGTCATGTGTTACCCGAATAGGCCAGGCCAGATCGTACGTAGCACGACAACAGGTTGCTATGACATACAGTGTTCTGTGAGGAACAAAGACTCTTTGCTACAGAAAAGTTACTACAACTATTTGTGCAACATTTTGGACGTTTTACCCTGAAGCTATAAAGTCTACATACTGTCGATATGCTTCAATACGTTCATATGTCTCCTTTAACATAGTGCGAGAAGCACCATGGCTATACATCGCGAGGAGTACCAGGGGAGCGTCTTTAGTGTGGAGAAGTCGTGACTGATCACTGCGACAACACTCGGTGAAGGCTCGTTTGTCACCTGAGGAAATGGAATAATAGCTCGTTTGCAAAGTTGACGCGAAACATGTATCACTAAGGTGTCATGCGTTACCCTATAACCGCAGCATCACTTTGTATGGATGTTGGATAGCGTTTGTGAAATACAGTTATATAACGGGCGTTTGAAACTCACAAAAAAGGCTAAATAGCTATGTAACATATTGACATATACATGCAGATATGTTACTATGTGTAACTTTCCCCAATATCAAACCTTTAGCCTTAACATAGTTGGGCGATGTGGCGTCGTGTGACGTAGTGGATAGAGCGTTCGGCGCTCAACAAAGGAGCCCCGGGTTCGAACCTGGGTCGGAGCACGGGGGCATGTCCGAACATGCGCACCGACGTTGTGCCCTTGGGAAAGGCACTTTACACGTATCCCCCCTCAACTAGAGGGTTAAGTCTCCAACGGCAGTTGTCTTCAGCTGGCGGACGAGAGCAGCGCCAGGCGGGCTGGCGTAGTCAAGGCGGAACTTGAGCGTAACCAAGTCACCGGCAGCTCGCTGCAAGCACCCGAACCGGAACCAGCACGTCTCCCTCGATGGATCCGCTGGGGAAGACGGATGCCCAAGTGTGTGGGTCTCAGATTCGCAACCTGTTATCCACCTTAAACAAATCCACGCGAAGGCTACCGTGTCAACTGTGACCCTCACTTAGGTGTAGGGACTGACACGGTCATCATACTCGGAAAGTCTGTATATCTGTACATGAATCTGTATCTGTGCATGACTATGTATCTGTACATGAATCTGTATCTGATTACAAATAAAGATCACGAGTGATTGCCATAGATAGTTGGGCGAAGGGCCGACAGCCCTTTGCATTGATTACATTAAAAGTCTGAAGTGCCGAGCAATGCCACAGCTAGTTGGGGGCAACCCAAGAGGTAAAGGTGACGAAGCATAAACAAGAAATGGAAGACATATGTACGTTTCTGAAGTATTTAGAGTTTCGGGTTTTCAGGTTTTGTTCAAAATTTTGAGAATTTCAGGTTTTATTCATAATTTAAAATTTCTCGATGATCATTCCACTGTCACTTTCTCACAGCCTGTGGAACATAATTTGGACGCCAATTCGACCTTCCTACCAGTCTGGGGTTACACCATTCCCCCTTACGTCCTGTGACTCTACTGTATTCAAATAGCTACGGACATTGAAAGTTAGCAAACAAATAGACAAGCACAAATAAAACCTCGGTACACGGCGGTAACTTACAGTACAAAAGTGCAGGTAGCTGACTGAAGACCTGCGTTTGTTGGTGGGCTGTCGTAGTAGATAGATTATCCCTCCCGCACCCCGTATGTCAGTCTGCCCTGCTCATCTCACCGTTTCCTCCACAAGACGAAAACTTAATTGAGTCAATTTAACGCTACTATCAATAATGAGTTCGGTGAAAGTTTGTGACTATCTGTATGGTTGACGAACGTCCATGGGAGCGAGTTAAGTGTGTGATGATCATGATAGCTGGTACATTGTTACCGGGATTTCAGGAAAATATTTGAGGAAAAACGTAGACTATCAAGTCTCTGACAGTGAACAGGTGGTCTTGAATGTTAATTTTGTTGTCCCATACTCAACTGGATGCAGCTTTGAAGCCACAACAAAGGTGTAACAGATATTTTGCATTTAGTCTATTTGCAAAAAGTATTGATACATTTGCCGTGTTAATCAATCCGCCACGAATAAACTATGGACCAACTAACAAGAAATGTCGGTTCCTCTAATGATACTGATAAAACGTCAGAAATGGATTTTGCTAAAAGCAAAGATGGTTTAATGGTCGACCTTCATGTTGTCTCCTCAGTCTCTAACTTAGATGGATGTGCAGATAGGCATGAAAAGTAAAATCTTTGCCATTTTATGCCATTGTCTGGTCCTAACATGAATTCCATGGCCATTTTCCAGAAATTAAGTTCGTGCCTGCCCTTTGCTCTACCTTCCTACCCACGATTGCTAATGCTCCCCCAGCCTTTGCACGGTTCTACAGGCATTTGATGACAGACAGCCAATAACTGGAATCTAATCAACGAAGCTTAGGGACGATAAGTCTTATGAGGGGAAGCAAGGATTGATTGAACGTTAATAACAATTCAAGAACATCAGGTACCTGTTGTCCCTACGGGGTGTTTCAATCGGTTCAGCAGCAGGAAATGAATTGTTAGGCAGTCGCCAGCTGCCGTGAGGTCTGGATGTTCAGGCGTTATTGGGCCTGAATGGGCTCAAGTTCGATGAAAACTGTTTGCTTGTAAGGGCCCAGTACAATACATCGTGCGATCCTTGTACGACTGCAAGCTGAGGGCATTCTTGAGACAATCGTGGACACGCGCGCAGTTCGTTGTACAAAATTCAGCTGCCCTGTTTATACGGAAAGGACTGTCTTAATGTTGTCGGTGGTTGAGTCTGTAACAGTCTACTTGAAAATTCTACGGCATCAAAATCCTAGGGAGAACTAGAAAGGTAATGCAATGCAAAAGCATTTATATGTTTACCTTCATATTGCCCAGCTTAAGAAACTACTGCTTTGTTTGTTCTTAATTCTTAATGGTAACAATGCAGGCCCTCTTGAAGTACATGTATGAAGTTCTGTATGGCACTTGCAACATTATGTAACCCAACTAACACCGCCTATCAGCTCTTGCGTGGCACTGAGGTGGTCCGCCATTGTCTTCCACAGTTTTTCTGGTTTCCTATTCTCGTCACGACGACGATGCCGATGCTAAAAGATGCCTCCATGAATAATTTCCCTCCTGGCCGGGAGGTCTGTGATGAAGAAACCAAAGGTTTCATTTCATCTTCAAATTGACGGATGGGTCCACCGTCTTATTGATAACGTTTGTCAAGATCGATTCACAGTCGTGGGAAAACGGGTCAGCGCTTCATTTCCTGGTTACACGTTAAGTCCTGGTGTGATGGGATTTAACGATAACTATACCAGCTCCTCAGAGGAACCGGTGTAGTTATCGTGCGATCAACTGCATGCCTCTTATTACCTTCGCCAAGAAGGTTATGTTTTCAGTAGCGTTTGTCCGTCTGTTTGTCTGTGAACAGCATAACTCAAGAAGTTTAGTATGCATTGTTATGAAACTTGGTAGGTGGGTAGGTCTTGATGAGACCTAGAAATGATTAGATTTTGGGGCCCCTGGCGGCTTTTGTTGGTACTGCAGCAGAACTTCCGGTTTTGATATCTCGCGATCTGGGCATGCTAGGGTCACGAATTTTTGTTGTTAGATAGCTCTTGAGGTAGGGAAGAAGTGACATGAGTTTGGGCCCCCTAGCGGCTTGATCTGGAATTGCAGGAGCATTTGTTGAAAAATTTTCGAAGGATGATAACTCAAGAACCGGTTGACGGATTGTCGTGATTTTTGGTATGTAGGTAGCTGAAGGGATGCTTGACATAATCAAATAACAATTATGCAAATCAGGAGCTAATTTGCATAATTAATGAGGAAATTCTAAAAATCTGCTTTGTTCGATAATAGGACTATGAAACACTTGTGACATGTAATTGAGAATGAAAAAAAGCATCTGAGGATATAGATTATGTAAATGAAGACCTAATTTGCATAATTAATGGGAAATATTTATAATTTCATAGTCGTAACTGCTGGGAATTTCATACTTGCCACATTTGGAAGTTAAGTGAAGGCGAACATCAATAAACATAATTAATTCAAATCATGACCTCGTTTGCATAATTTATGTGGAAGTGCTATAATAGCCTTTTTGTAAGATTGGGTGGAGAATATGATCAACTGATAAATATAATCCATGCAAATGAGGCTCTTATTTGCAAAATCAATGATTAAAATTGTATAATTCGTCAACCACAAGGGTTGAACATCATTTGGCGAAGGTATGAGATCGTGGAACTCTTGTTGTAGATAAAACAACTTTCTTAAGTGGCATATGCATTTTTAGACGTAGACCATTTCAACTTAGAAATAACGGAATCGAGAGAAAGTTAGACATTTAGAAATCTTGATGTCATATCCCTCATGCAGCATTTTGAAACCCATTGATTCAAGAGACGACATATTTCTTTTCCATCACTTGTTTTCAGATGACTGACAATATCTGGGAAAACACACTAAACTAGCAGCTAGAAGACTTCTAAATATGAATTATTTCTGAGATCACTAAGAGAGAAAATGATAATAGCACAGAGAGTGGAAGCATTTTTGCGAGATACTGTATTGAACCCGACAGCTGATTACCTCTCCCCGGCCTGCCCTGTCTGTGAGGTCTGATCCCTGCGCTCACGTGTCTAACTCTGCCCCGCAAGTCTCAGCAATCTTACTTCACCAGCCTGACCTTTGACTTACTTCCATCGCTTCCTTTTATTACGTCCTCGTGAGGGGAGCCTGACCCTGTACACTCCTCCAATACGTGCCATAAACATAGGGTAACGGTCATACTTAACTGGGCCAGACGTGACTAGGGACACTTAGTACGTGCTACTAAAATTATAATCACGTTAGATGGCTGAATGGCAGAGCGGTTTGGCTTATTAAAGGACACGAGATCGAGAGGACAAGGCTGGTATTCCTTGGGACAAGGAAAGGCAATTGACACAACTTTCTTCACTCAATCTAGGTGTAAAATGGTACCTGATTTCGGTTGGGGAGGTAAAAGGCGGTGGAATGAACAGTATGAGCTCCGCCTTCCAATATCATGCCCTAGACACAGGGGATTATTAACTCTCAGCCTATAAGGCCTCAAAAAGGCTATCACTTAGATAGATGAATGCAGTTATTTGAACAGGGAGTCAAAGTAAGTATTCAATTTGTTATACATTCTTAATTGCAACATTTATTAACAATATGTAGTGGCGACGCACTGAAGTCCTTGACTTATTTGCAACCTTTTATCCCAGAATGTTGTTAGAAAACTAAACAAATTATGCAATTGTATTAAGTATCACGAATAACATTGATATAAATTCATCTCATACACAATATCTTTACATTCACTAAATGAATATTGAAGGCGCGTACTTCTGATATTGCTCCGGATTCAGAATTGCTGGCACCACTGTGGTTTTGCACTTAAAAGATAACATTTCTCTTATAGAATAATTGAAAACGTTATCATAATGATGTTATTTGTCTTGCTATTGTAAGCTTATCTTATCGTATATTAATATGCACATAGAAACAACTGACAATTCATTGTGTTAAAAACACGACTCGATGGCATCTTTGATGTCGGAGTGAAATTTCACCAACATGAACATTGAAATGACTGAAACATGTAGAAGAGGAATATATTCTTGAATATCTCGCAAACTGTACACATTTTCGTCTCAAACGCATTAAAAAGTCAATAAAAAAAAACTGCACCACATCAGCAATCCGTACATAAGTAAGACACATTGTATCGGTTACCATTGACACATATGAAGAACCTGTCAAAAGCTCAAACTAGTTGAAGGATAGGTGATGCTTAAGTGTAACCTTCATGGGATTTAAGATGTTGCCTGGTAGTCTATCCCGTCGTCCCGGTTTCCTAAGCACCCTTTGTCGGCCTTTGTTGATAGGCTGAATACCAGGCAATTAAAGATGGCCCTTGGGAAGATAGGCCCGGTACCTTCTTTCACTTGAAGATCAGGAAACCGGAAGAAAGCATCGCTCCCTTTGCCCCTTCGGTATAATTGATCATTTGTCCAGGCAGGGAACGTATCTGTGATGTTGATTTCCTGAGATAAGTAGTGTAGATACTTGACGTGAACATCAGTAGTGCCCATCAGACATACTGACTCAGGTGAACCTCCAGAGCACGGTGCTTTGCAGACGACTTCTACTGAGGAGAAAAGGGCCTTATCAGTCTCGCGAGACTTGGCGAGACATGAAAGAAGGCATTACAAAGGTACTTTCCGTCACAGAGGGAACTGTCTCGGAATTTCAATATTGAATTACTTATTCTACGAATTGGTACGAAACCTTCAAACACGAAACGATGTTCATCAACTGATAATGCCGACGTTGACATGACAACGTTGATCCTCAATTCGCCGTTACAAAATGAATTGATGCATTATGTCAATGAAGTGCAATTTTATAATAAGGCACCACAGAAATGTTACTGTAGTTGTCAGAATGCCAAAATGTGTTTTAATCTATGTATATGTCAGTTCGTACTCTTACTGAGGAAGAATGAAGTTTTCAGATGAATGTCCACATATATCTAATGAATCCTAGTCGCTGGTCAACTATTACCCGTAGAGAAAAGTGTTTTGTAGTAGACTACATATGAAGGCTATGATTATGACGAAACGAGATGATAGATGATATAAAATCATCATAATACACAAAAATATCCCGTCTTGCATGTCGTATGAGCCCTGTTCTTTAGTACTAATCCACAGCTGAAGAGCGGAATTGCCGCCCTGGGGAGCCAGTTTAGCTGTACAGATTCCACTATTAAAGGTGTGTTGACTACAGCAAAACAGATCGGTATGTTTATTGAATCACCTCCAGTCTCCATTAAAAAACCTCACATTCTCATGCCCTCTCTTACACTTTCTCTTACCCTCAGATGCTCTTCCTTTAAGACACCCATCCAAAAAATGACAGATATAATATGAATATATAAATATATGCACATAATATGTAGGCATATGAATCCTATACTACTTTATTTGTTGCCATGAAGGGACATAAAGTCTTAACGAGTACCAGTTACGGCTGCACTCTTAATGAGAGTTACTGTGTCTTCCTGTGAAGGTGCCTGTCTGCGCACATTAGGCGCTCCGCTGGGGTGCTGTTAACCATCGCGTAAAGCCACTGTTATTACAGGTAGATAACGCAGCGCCGTGATCGCCAAGATTCCTCATTATACAGCGCGGGAGATACACATGTAAGTACGTCAATGGGGGACTTGTTATCTCGGGGGGACATCAAGAAGCTTTACAAATGTCATTTGCGCATGAACTGTATAAAATCGCCCAGCTATTTGATAGATTTTACAGACATGTAACTGTCAGAAGGATTTGCCGTCATGGAAAAGTTTGAAAAGGTTTACGGCTTTATATTGACATATTTTGTCATGTTCAAACATAAACGCAGTTACAGCGAATGACCTGTACCGTCACCTACAATAAAACCGTCGTCGATTTTTTTTTGATTGGCCGATTTCGACTTGTACATTATGTAGTAGCTGCTGCTGTTGTAACCTTGAAGATACAATTCAAACGTAACTGCAGATGTGCGTGGATATGGAAGTAACATTCTTTCTATTTAAGTGATGTTTGGAAAGGATTTGAATGTGTCAAAGTCATAGGCAAATCTATACCAACACGCAAGGGAACTGTGCAAGTCATAATGTCACTTCCTCATAAGACTAGGTGTATGGCACCCATATAAAAGGGCTATACATGTAGCTCGGGATTCCGATGGTAATAACTAACGTGGTGCCGTGGGGCACGTAATTGGAGTTTCATTGGATGAAGCTGTATAAAAGGGACAGGAACATGGCGTAGGATGAAATATGGTCGAATAATCCGATGCGATGTCTTAATATATACAGTATTTCATGATCACGATAGAAGCAGCTTTTCTGAAACAGTCGGCAGTAATTGCATCAAATGAAGCAGAACGAACCGGGAATGAACCTCGTGCTTTTGACTCAGAACGGCTTTAAGACAGCAACATAAAGACACAAACATTAGTTTAGAGTTATTCAGCACTTTTATAGATTAAATATCCATTCTTCACCAATCAACAATGACCATTTCCGATATACATTTACTCTCAGTACTCTACACCCCCTGTAAGTGTTATTGAGTGTCCTAAAGCCCATTTAAATGGGCAATATAAAAATGCCACTTAATTACCATGAAAGCTGATTTGTATTAATAGACATGGAAAAAGTTTATACTGTCTATTCAACACAGAATTATCTTGATCAGCTTCTCTTGTCATATTTTTCTCAACAGACTCAATGGACAACACATTCTCACAATTTTGACAATAAAATGACTGTTACAATTAATCTCAACAAAATCGGGGTGTATCTTGTCTAGAGAAATTATAAGTTTTGAACAAAAATAATAAGGTTGCAAAATACATGTCACAACATAGGAAAATGTTAATAATACAACATTATTCATATCTTTATTGAATTCAAAGAATGCAAGAATTGCTCAAGATCAATAGTCTAGAAACTACTGCCTAAATATGAAAATGCTTATGAGTGATATGGTGACTTTGGTTTAAGAAAAAAGTGCATATCTAATGAAGCAAATATACACAAAGTTTTCTTCCAATTACATAAAGTCTAATGACTGTAATCACCCTATCCATATACAGCACAGTATTATGCTTTATCTGGTGACATATTCAGTTTCCATATTTTTTCTTTAAATTCATATCTTCTCATATGATACAATCATAATTCAACTTATCTGCCAAGGTGTCAAACATATAAGTAACTCAGTTAGAAATGAAGCAATGAAATTTCAGTCACGTATTACATGATATCAAAACAAGATTGAGAATGTGGTGAAGGTTTGATTAGACATCCAATGATAAAAGCGTAGCTATGACCCATGATGCACTGGGCATTCCCACAGTGCTTTACAGCTTAGAAGCCTGTTCCTTGAAGAGTCCATCCAGTTTGGTCATCAGCATCAAGTTCCCAGCAATCTTCAGTTTGCCTTGGAAGAACGCCTGCAACAGTACACCACAAAGTTATTAATACATTTAATACATACTAGTACTAATGCTTACAAAATACTGGTAGTCATTTCTTGGATAATCTTATTTTTGCATGTTAGGCAAAAGTCATGATGTTGGAGACATGAAAGTTTTGTCTCTAGCAATGTTGGTGGACATTACAAACCGTTTGCCCGTTGAGTTTCCCAGTGACCAGATCCACAAAGTCCTGATCAGAGATGGTGATGGTGGTGTCTGGCTTCCCCTGTTTGGGGGTTCCCTTGTACACCGAACCACTGCCAGTCTTCAGGTCAATAGCTGATGAGGAACAAAGTGAAAGATAGTTATTATTTCTATGAAGTGTTCTACAATTGTACCAATTTTTATTGAAGGCATATATAAGGGCCTAAATGCTTTACGCCATGCTTTGCATCCAGAACATGACAGGCCTTACTCCACTGGGCAGCCTGTTTCTTGTCCTTGGTGATGTTCCACAGAAAGATGGCCTTGATCTTCTGGATGGCGGCGCCAGCTGAGGGAAGCCTCCTGCCCAGCTCAGTAAAGACTGGATCACTCAGCAGGCTGGGGCCAGCCGGCTGCTGTGGGGACAGCAGATGGGTTAGTACAAGAACAACACAACACAACACAAGAAGACAAGAGGGGAAGGAATTTTCTTCACATACTGTTTATACAAGTGGTGGAGGATTCCCCATTTTAGCACTACTATATATTACATACCTGTGCCTGAGCCTTGAACAGCCCCTCCAGTTTGGTCATCAGCATCAGGTTCCCAGTGATCTTCAGTTTGCCCTGGAAGAATGCCTGGAGGAAACATCATCAACAACATCAGCATGACTGGTGGGGTAAGGTCCATCTTATTTCATGTCTGTGATCACATTTTGCTTGATACATTTTCACAGAAAACTCAAAAATGCTTCTTATCAAAGATATTACGAACCGTCTGTCCGTTGAGTTTCCCTGACACCAGGGCGATAAAGTCATTGTCTGACATGGTGATGGTGGTGTCTGGCTTCCCCTGTTTGGGGGTACCCTTGTACACCGAACCACTGCCAGTCTTCAGGTCTACAGCTAGAAACATAGAATAAATATCATTATGACACTTGATTATGCAATAAGTGATCATGGTTAGCACACATTTATTTACTAGTAAGCAACATGTTTTAGTGTGTCTATTTATGTTAGACAAAAATATCATAACACTTGATTTTGCAATACGTGATCATGGTTGGCATACATATATCTACTAGTAAGCAACAGGTTTTCAGTGTGTCTATTTGTGTTGGTTTGATATTCACAAAAACTCATATGAATATTTCATGAAGGTATATGAGATCTTTGGTTTTTATATTAAATGATTCTCAGGTGAGAAGAATTTCCGCTTACTCCACTGGGCAGCCTGCTTCTTATCCTTCATGATGTTCCACAGGAAGATGGCATTGACCTTCTTCACAAGGTCAGGGGTCAGCTGCTGGGCCATCTGTCCGAAAACAGCATCGCTTGGCAGGGCGGAGCCAGCACTTACCTGTGAGAAATATTGGGAGATTGTGATTGGTAGATTTGTAATTTCTAATACATGTATTAGTCAAAATTAAAATCAGTGCACAACATACAAATGTTACATACATACATACATCAATACAATCTGCTCAAATGCTCACCATGAATAAAGTCAAATGAAGAAGTTACAAAACTATGAATCACTAACCTGGCCAGCCTGAGGAGAAGATCTGTCAAGATAAACAAAAAAGAAAGAGTACTGAAAATATTCCTCACAGGCATATATGCACGAATAGATGAATGCAAATAACAGGCAAAAGTGCAGATCATTTTTCAACCACCGTGCATGTGCCATTGGTATCACGTATTTGCAATGACAGATTTATCATTTCAAAATGATGTTGAAATTTGACACATAAACCAATTGTTGATAACAGGTACATGTAAACCAGTCTAAGCACTAAGTTCTGCATGGTAGTTATATAATAGTAATGGTAGTCACATATGCTAAATTTCCTACTGTTTGGAGAACTTCTTTATTCAGCCTGGCTAATGTAGCCATTTGGCACCAAATCTGTATTGGATATAGAATTAGGCTGCAGGAAGAAGGTTTATAAAGACTTATTCCTCTTTGGACATTTTTCTCTCAACATTTGAAGTTTACAGGCAGAGACGGGTATACGTATAATAAAGCTCTTCAATATCTGACATTTGACTGTCAGCGTGTAGTGCACTCTATAACCCTTACCCAGCCCCCTCCACCAGGTCCACATAGGCCCCGTTCAGAGCGATGTCACCTGTCTCCACTACCTTCACCTGCAGGTGGATGCGGCTGCCCTCCTTCCACATGTCCGTCTGCAGGGTCTGGCCTGGGATCACAGGCTTAGCAAACCGCACCTGGGGTGGGAGAGAGATGACGTGTACACGACTCTTTCACCTGGGTCTGCAGCTTGGAACACCCAAAACACACAATAATGTCTTTCAACTGACTCACGCATAAAGAATGACTCATGCATTTAAAATAGTGAAATAAAATGTATGTTTATTATTGTTAGAGGAATAGATACATGTATGTCAAATGTTGTTTTGTACCTTGATGGCCTTGAACCTGGTGACATCATTGTTGGCGTAGGTTTTGAGAACATGGCGGGCAGCGATACCAAAGCTGCACAGACCATGAAGGATGGGCTTCTTAAATCCTGATGGCAGAAAACCCACAGTAACATGAGACGTTAGTTCATCACACAACCAATAACTTAGGATCTTGTGGAAATGGAGTGCTTATTTTGTACATAGACCATCTGCCCTTGCCATATTCAACAGCTTTTGAAACAGAAATTTCACAAGGTATTTCTAATAAAAAATTGTAATGTAACACAAAAAATATTACAAAATGCTAGAAGTGCATTTTTGTTTTTTCAACATAAATGTTACATAGGTCCTTTTAAAACACTTTACTCCAAACATGTGAGACCATTTTCTGTCAGGTCCATGTATTCTGCCATGCTCACCTCCCATAGCTGCGAAGGTTGGGTCCAGATGGAGAGGGTTGTAGTCTCCACTCAGACGGTACAGGGCAGCCTGAGGGAGATACAACGTTACATGTATATGGAGTAGCTAGCTTTGAAGGGGTATAGTATGAACTGTTTCACAACTTGCATTTTGCACCTGTTATTAGTGTTCATCTTACTGCCTGTGCAAGACTGATGGGCAATGAAACAGACATACATGTATAACAGGCAAAACATATATTATTAACAAAACATGTACAGAGCAGGTAAGCCGAGGTACGGGAGGTGGAGAGTTTCCCGCGCGGGAACTGTGCCATGTATGAGGCACAGTTCCCGCGCGGGAAACTCTCCACGTGGAGCCACGGACTCCCGTCCGGGAGATTCACCACTCTAGAGCGACAGTGCGCGCATGTGTTTTCATTACTCAGCTCCCAAATGGCAAGCACGGGAACGTCACCATTTCGGGCCAACATCGCGTGACGGGAACGGCACCATTTCGGGCCAACATCGCGCAACGGGAACGTCACCATTTTGGGTCAAATCGCAAACTTCACACCAAACTATCATATATCAAGCAAAAAAGACGAATTTGCGAAGCCACAAACGCACATTTTCTGTGAGATTTGTGTATGGGTACCTTTTCCCTTTTGAGTAAATATCATGCATTCATGAGTATTTACGGTAGAAAACGAACTTTCGAAGATATCGTATTATGGAGGTATTAAACGTTCCAAATCTAAGAAGGTCGAAATAAACAACATAGTACTGTCAAAGCAATCACGATAATAATTTGTACATTCCAACAAGTCACTGATTTTGCTTTCAGGAAGAGGCTAGGGACTATGATAGGGAGAATCGGGAAGCATATCTACGTGAATAAGGCTCCGTGACTGCCAGGGCCTGGATACTAAATGCTGTAAACAACGCAGCATTTTTTTTAATACCGAGAATGAAAAAAAAATAACAAGATACCTGTGGGCATGGAAGACGAAAATATGGATCTTCAAATCTTGTGGCGTTGGCTACTTCATCTGTGTCCTCTATCGGTCAACACTGACTTTATAAAACAACACTCGCTCCTCACTCCCGAAGTCGTGACACACCGGCCGGCCATAACCCACGCTACTACTAATTAATATTCATTAGGTCAAAGGTCATGGTATTGTTTAATGTCAAGGTCGGAGAACACAGTATTAATGGGCGTGGGTATAGAAAGTAGTGCGGGCAGAACTATTGAATCAAGCAAGGGCATTATTCTGTGATAAAAGCTCCTTGAATCAAGCGACTTATGTGAGATGTAACCAGAAGTAAACTGAGCTGTGTTGTATAGTAATGCATCGGCTTGTACACTGTATAATCTGATACAGTGTACAAGATACATACTGTGAAGATTTCCCTGTTCGTGTATAAATGCGCCGCATTACGCAACTGCGTTCCATGGTGAGCCGCCTGCAGTTCCTTTGACCTCCACAGGTGGCCAAATAAAAGAGGTCGTCACGTTAAAAACATAACTTTTTGTTTTCTATTATTTTGTAGATGTACTAGTTGGCCGTGTTACTCTAGTGCACCCTACTATAATTTTACCGCGTCGAAGTGAGCCACCTTGGGGTGCTTAACTATAGAAATCCCCATAGGGCGAAAACTGTGTTCTGTCACTTCAAAGGTCGCAGTGCCTCCGCGACAGTTTGTGTAGTATTTTAGAATTCACTTGGAAACGGAATACGGTAACTTAACATTATGTTATTGTGATTAAACGTGCTAATGTGTGCATATGAGCTGTAGTTCTCTGTGTGTATTTTATTTTAAATTTTGACGAGTTTTGCATACTTTCACCGAGGAGGTAGCTCCTTGCTTCCACTGTGACATATTTGCGGTGGCAGAGGCGCAGTGTCTGATGTTCTGTATATTCGAGAGAGACGACGTCCTTTTCCTGGGATTTGGATTTAAATCCTTTCTATCTCCAAAATACTGCTCATCGATAGGAACAATGGCGTATATTTACTAATCCAAGCTATACCGCCATGCTCTGCGTTTCAGGAAACGTGAAGAAGATAAATAAATCAAATCTTTGTTTAAAATCAACTTTGCAGCGTGCTGAATTCCTTCAAACACGACTGAATTCCGTTGGCATTTTACAAATACGTAGATTAAAACCACTGCAATGTATTAACATTTACATAACTAGAGGTCGGAGATCTCATGTCTTCGTCAGAGGTACATCGTTCTAGAGAAATTAACATGCGTATTCTTCAATCTTTTTAATAATCAATTTGGTCTAAAGAACAAAAGAATCTCTGTACTATTTTTATGGTACAGAACACCCTGAAACGGTTTGCCGCAGATTATACAGATGCGTCGTCACCCGTGTTAGCCCCCCCCCCCCCTACGTTATTTGAGTTTGGACTGTTACTGGAAAAAAACGTTCAAGAAATTCTTACTGTGTTGAAAGTGTCACGACAGCGCCGCAAAATATAATAAGAGAAGATGTTATAAAGGAAAGAATCAGAACAGGGTGACTACTGCAGTTATGTTAATTTGTCTTTATGACAAATAGAAGACTTGTTTCTTGTGTTCTTTGTGTCCTAACATTTGTACTTCTACAGTTAGTATATTCCAAATCTAGGCATCTCGTTTCTCGGCCCTTCGTGTTTTTATTGCGCGCTTGCCTTAAATTTAAGGTAATTAGATTTAAGGTCTCCAGTGGACGTCATCCATAGCAATTACTTGGTGTGGCCGTAGAAAATAACCTGACATATGTCCAACCTATCCTCCCCCTGCTGAAGTTATAGTACAATCCCTCAATGTAACGTCATTTGATCCCATCCCATTATGGGGTTCCCCGCTATATCCAGCTGTCGGCTGTCTCCAAGCAGATGTAGGTGGGGGATTTCTAAACACAAAAGGTCCTATTACGGGGACATAACGACCTCCACGACTCTCATCTTTGAACTCAATCTTGGAGACCACGACAGTAACATGCCTATCAAATTTCATTAAATTCCATCCACACATACAAAAGTTATCCTGCTCACAAGAAAAATTAACAAAATGCCCCCTGTAGTCACAACGAAACCCCCCACGAAGGTCAGTAACGAACTTAACCTTGGTCCCGACAATAGTAAGCACCACACCAAGAATTATAATCAACATTTTACAAATACTTGAGTTATCTTGCTAACAAGCCACAAACACAAAAGGTGCACTAACGTGACGCACGGACCCCCCACGAAGCCAAAACTTCTACTTGACTTCGGCCTTAACAGCGGTAATCTGCCTGCCAAAAATCATGGACGTCGAATCATGCCTTCCAGAGTTATATCGCAAAATCCGCAGTTCCCCACACTCCGGCGAGACAATTTCATAGTCCTTCTGACGAAGACAA